CAAAATTGTACCTAAAAATTGATTTTCAGAGAGTAAAATGCTAGAATTTTCCCTACCATCGGAGGGAGAATTGAATTCTTGATATCAAGAAATAATTTTCCGTTGTAAAGCAATGGTAATTCTTGATATCAAGAAATATGTTTAAATGATAAAACGGCTTGCCATACTACCGTGCTGTCCGTCATGAAAATGCATAAGATGGGGCCTTGTTCACGAGTATACAGTATAGTCGTGATACAGGCCCCCATGTCCGTGTTGTGGAACACGCAACGCCGTTGCGCGGCCTGTAGGAGACTCTTATAGTATACTGGTCATACACGCCCCCCAACTGCGGGGCCTGTATCACGAGTATGCCTGGAACATACTCGAGACTAGTAAGTTAAAAACCAAATATTGTAGACGAACACGTGGTGGATATCAATAAATATTATGCATATCTGCCATAGGCTTAGGAAGATTTTCAGGATTGGGGGGGGGGGGGCTCCATCATTTGTTTTTGACCCGCTGTTTGAAGATCCCCCCCCCCCCCCACTGCCCCCTCCCCCGTTGTCACCATTTTAGACAGTCTTCCTTTTTCTTCTCTCCTTGCTCTATCCCCATTTTTAGACCCAACAGTTGCCGTATAAACAATTTTTGAAACGATTAAGGCTTTAATAACAACCACTTTACCATAAAACGTTAATATTATCTGTTTCCAGTATTTCAATATATTTTTGATTTTTTTTTCTTCTGACTTTTCCATCCCAAATTAAACATTCATTTCCCCTTTTATTTTCCCGATATATATAATTCCCAAATATGTTGTTGGTTGTTCAGTACTTTCCCCACATTCTCCATTCGCATTATCTGTATTTATCTTCATTACTTTAGTTTTATCCCAATTTACTTGAGGACCTGCCACTACTCCAAAATTTCTGACCTCTTCCATAAACTTAATCAATGATTTTGAACTATTTCACAAAAAATGGTTGTGTCATCTGCGAATTGAGACACTTTTAATTCGGACAATACAGAACCTAATAAATCAATTCCTTTTATATCTTCGTTTTGTCGGATCTTACATGCTAGAAATTCAGCTATAATAACGAAAAGAAGACAATGGGCATCCCTGTCTTACCCCATGCTCAATAGAAAAAGTCTTGGACATCCTTCCGTAATTCATCACCTTTCCCCTTTGCATTACTATACAAACTTTGAACCCATTTAATACAACCTTCCTTCAATTGAAACTTCTTTAAAGCGCGTAATAAAGTGAGTGGCTAACATTATCGTACGCTTTTTGAAATCTAGAAACATAATAATACAAGGCAACTTCTTATCTAAACAATAATCAATAACATCCTGAGTCAGTCTGACATTTTCTGTTGCTGACCTTTTTTTAATAAAGTCAGTTTGATCCGTTGAAATGATACCACCTATACAATTTTGTAATCGTTTTGATAAAACTTGTGCACATAATTTATAATCTACATTTAAGAGGGATATAGGTCTCCAATTCTCTAAAATTCTTTTATTTCCTTTTTTATACAACAATGTTTTTAGCGCTCCTAAATAATCAATAATATTAGTAGTCGTAATAGTAGCGTTTCAAAATCTCAAACTTCATTCTAAATTGTATAGGTCAGTGCAAACCCCAAAATACTTCTTTGTTATTCAGTGAATGCAATAGATCATCGAGTTTTAAATGAGGCCAAACTTAACTAGCTTTCGCTATTGGCGCCAAATTGTATAGTTATTGTCATGTTGAAATTAAACCTAGGCCTATCTAAAATTTTGGTAGTAAATGGATGAATGAAAAGTGAATGAAAGAAAATAAGTATACAGTACCATAATTTGAGTAGGCGCTTGCCACACTGAGGCAGAGAAGAAGCGAGAGAATAGCGTAGCCTTCCATCATAGCACAATTCAACCAGGACCCTCGGGTAGGATGTATCGATGAAAAGTGTTGTTAATTCTTGAAGGAGGTGCGTTTTTATAGTGACATGATAACAAAAAGAGCCTCTCCTTCAGAGATTTGAAAGGATTCGAAACATTTACCCCTCTTTCTAGCAAACCAGTCGACCGTGGTGGCTGTTACGAAACTGTGTCGAAAAATAGGTACCTGGGCCCTGTTATATAACACTTTTTATCAATAACAAGTGTCACATTTCTACAACAAATATGCTCACAGCCGTGAACAAGACCAAAATGATAAATGTGATAATACGAGAAAATAGATCAAACAAGTGTAAATATTATTCATTGTAATGATAAATAAAAGAATCATGAACTCCAAAATGTATTGGGGTGGAATTTTTATAATAATAATAATAATAATATTCATTTGTAAAGCGCAATAACTATGTGGATATATTCTATTGCGCTGCAAGAGCTCGTAAATGCTGTGCTATACATACTATATGAACAAGTGAGTTTTCAGTTTTGATTTAAAATTATCTAGTGATGGGGCTTTCCTTATTTCTAGTGGTAATTTATTCCATAATCTAGGGGCAGCACAGAGAAATGACCGGTCCCCGAGGGTTACTTTGGTTTTATATGGGGGTATTTGCAACATAAATGTGTCTTGTGTACTACGAAGGTTACGACCATGGGTTTGAGACTTGATGTGCAACAATTCAGTAACGTAATTAGGAGTTTGACCATTTAGAGCTTTGTAGACTATCATTAATATTTTAAATGTAATTCTCTGGCGAATTGGCAACCAATGTAGTTCCTTTAGAAGTGGGGTTATTCGAGAGAATTTTGGGAGGCTGCAAATTAGTCGTGCACATGTATTTTGGACCCGCTGCAACTTGGAAATTTGTGAGTCTGGCAATCCATACAATAAACTATTACAGTAATCTAGTTTACTAGTAACACATGCATGCATGATAGTTTTCATGCTGTCCTGATCAAAGTATTTTCGAATGCGTCTCAAATTATAAATCATGAAATAGGCTGATTTGCATATTTTAGTGATATGTGAATCCATATTCAGGTGGGTATCAAAAGACACACCCAAGTTTCTAACAGTATCAGATGGGGTTATGGTTGAGTCACCAACTGATACACTACGCGACCTAAATTTAGAAACCTGGCGTGGAGTACCAATGACCAAAAGTTCTGTTTTGTTATCATTTAACATCAACTTGTTTTGCAACATCCAAATCTTAATATAAACAACACATGATTCTAATTCAGAAATACAATGATCTTCAGCCGGTGTGTTAGGACAGAAAGATAGGTATAGTTGGGTGTCGTCTGCGTAGCAGTGACAACTAATACTAGGAAACTCTGTATGGATATTTGTAAGGAGTCTGCTTGTATACAAGGTAAACAACAGAGGGCCTAATCGCGACCCTTGAGGAACGCCAAAAGGCACATTGAATACATCAGAGACAACGTTATCAATTTCAATTTTCTGTTTTCTATCTGACAAGTAAGATTCAATCCATTCGATAACCTTGCCATCAACCCTAAAATGGCTTCTTAGAGTTTTCAGTAAAAATGAGTGATCTATTGTGTCGAAAGCACTGCTCATATCAAGGAGAAGCAGCAGACTTATTTTCTGGTTGTCCATTGACATAAGAAGATCACTTTTTATCCTAAGAAGTGCTGTTTCAGTACTGTGAAATTTTCGGTATGCTGATTGATTGAGCGGCAACAGTGAATGATGTTCAATGTGCTCAAGAATCTGTTGGGTAGCAGCACCTTCTACCAACTTAGAAATATACTGAAGATTACTAATGGGCCTTAAATTACTCAATTCTGTTTCGAGGCCTGGCTTTTTCAATAGTGGTTTCACTAGAGCGACCTTCCACAATGCAGGGAATTGCCCTGCTGATAGAGACAAGTTCAACATAGAAATAATAACAGGTATCAATTCATCGAGACATTGCAGCAATATTTTTGTGGGCATTGGGTCCAATGGACAGGACTTCTTACTGAGCTTCATTATCAATTTTCCGACGTCTTGTTCGGACAGTGATTTAAAACTTGTCAACGTCATCATTGATCAGTTTGTCTATGTGTACATTGCCAAGTTTTAAATCTATATCGTTATGAATTTTCTGAACTTTATCCAAGAAAAACTTGCCCAAGTTGTTGACAAATGATTTTGAATCAACGTTACAAGGTACAATGGGTTGTTTATTTGACATGTTTAGCAAACCCTTTACAATATTGAACAACGCTTTTGTGTTTTCTTTATGTTCAGACACTAAATCTTTATGGTGACTCTTCCGTGCCTCATACAATGAAAAGGAGTAAGAGTTACGAATTGACTTAAATGCTTTCCAGTCTTTGTCTGTTTTTTATTTCATCCAAATTTTTTCAGCTTTCCTCTTTTTTCTCTTTTCTTCTAATATACTATCGGTCAACCATGGCGCCTTAGGTCGCAAAACAAAAGTTTTTGTTGCCTTTGGCGCATGCTTGTCTAAGAGGTCATTGAGAGTTGTGTCATATAACATCGCTAATTCAGTGACATCACTGGGTGTTCCATCACAAAGACGACTTTCAGTTAAGTCTTTTCTAAGTAACTCAGTATTGATTGCAGATAGTCTGCGAAATGAAACCTCTTTAACAGGAAGGCGAGGTTTACTTGAATTAAGGTAACACATTACAGGGATGTGATCAGAGATTAAAGATGAATGTGCCTGAGGTTTTCCAATGACAATGTTATCATCAGATTGCCGTCTTATTAACAGATCAAGAGTGTGGCCGTGTATGTGGGTACAAAAATCAACTAGCTGTGTACAACACAGAGACTCAAGAAGATTTAGGAAAGACTGTGAGTCTCCACTAGAACTATCGACATGTATGTTGAAATCTCCAACTATTAATAAAGGAACATTGGACAATAAATGACTTTGAATATAATCATTGAATTCTGATAGAAAACATGATACAGATACAGGATGTAATGCAGAGTAAGGCGGTCTGTATAATTATATTAATGACACATAACTGATAGGATTTACATGAAATTTGGTACTCTGCATACTCGAAAGAGTTATGCTCACCAGCTGTGGCTTGAAGAGCATTGATGGTATCTCTGTAGACAAGTCCAGTTCCCCCTCCACGGCGGATACTACGAGGATGATGAACTAATTTATAGCCAGAAGGAACAAATTCATTTAGAACTGTAGAGTCATTGTCCGTTAGCCAGGTTTCTGTCATTGTAATAAGATCAGCATTACTGTCGCAGATGAAGTCGTGGATCAGGGCTGATTTATTGCGCACTGAGCGAACGTTCATGGAACAAAGTAAAATGTTTGGAGATGATGATGATGATGATGATGATGATCTTGACACTTTTGATTGTCGGAGACAGTTTCTTCTGCGGCCACCGCGCCTACCTCTCCTTGTCTTTCTTCGTTGTATTCCAAAAGAATGGATGACATCGCGAACGTCGGACGACAGTCGAAGCTTTGTAGATCTCCACTGTAACAGTTCCCCTGGAGAGTAGTGAATTCTACGCTGAAGGGGAGGGTCACGATGAATGGCAAAAGATGGTACAGTGCCATCTTGATCCCGATCTGGTCCGGGGTTGGGATGTACATCACCCGCATGCAGTAGCTCTAGTTGAAAAGATGCTGTACTATTCGGGTTGTATGGAATCCTCGTTTTAAGATATTGTTTTCTAATGAAGTTTTCATTAATCGACAGTTTAATGAAGGATTGCTCACTGCAGTACACATTCCGTCAAAGTAGCATACAGGCAGAGTGTGAACACAAGTCCAAGTTGAAACGGTCCCATTGTGCTTGGTAGTGAATCCAGTGATTCATGTTCGTCCAGGCATACAATACATAATAGGCATATACATTACATAATAGAGTACCAGGGTACTTTTACTTACATAGAGAGTGTACATTGAAAATGGCTTCTTAGCTGGTACTACTACACATGAATCCAAAAAATGTTGTCATCAAAATATGGTGTGAAATCACATAACTATCGAATACAATTCGACTAGTGGTATCCAGAAGGCATATATAAATTACTGGTAACAACACAAATTGATATAACAAAGTAAATACAGGCAAATAAGAGCTCTTTTGGAGAGCAAGCATAAAGCATGTGCAACATGCTTATGCGCTCATCCAACATTTAACTGTTGACTTCAGTAAACGATTTGTTGATAACTTTGCTCGGGGGGGGGGGCGGAGCAGAAAGATCAGGTAAAGCATCGATAAAAGTTGTGACCCCGCCTTTTCCCTGGGTCTGATTGAATGGATATATCAATCAAAGCCCCCCCCCCGTAACAGGTAACAACCACTACATTTATGTTATCTTCTATACGGTAGATCTAGTCAGTTAAATTATATCGGCCTCCACCCATACCACGTTTATAGACAATTACCAAGTTTCGTCATCATTATAACATTATAGCATGGCCTAATTACAGAACAGGTGGTTTCGTCCATCATATTCAAACAATCTGTTTTTTTTCAACTTGGTTCATTTTTTCCAACATAAAATTAAATGACCATCTGAACATTTGAACTACGACTATAGTTTAACTAGAATATGCCTCTCTAAACTTCAAACCAATCTTCTCTTGAGGCCCCTTATATGCTGGATTATTTCTCCCTTTTCCATTCATTTCATTTATTTCGAATTTCCAAACCTAAAATGAAACGACAAACTGTGTTGACATGGGCAGGGCATGGTTGATAATCAGTTAACAAATGTACAAAATAATAAATGTACAAGATTTGTATCATAAAGAACTTAGAATTACTTAAAACTTTCTATAATGTCAGAAATATTGCATGATTTTTTGTGTAATTACCGAACGATAGAACGATATGAGGCAAGAAAAATAGAAAAGTTGTTTAGAAATGGAAAGGCCGACATGGAAGCCATACGATTGTGAATTAACGGCCCCTGGGCAAAAGAACAGTGTATCTTTGACTAATCAGAAAGAAGGGGGAAAAAACGCTTTCAAAAGCTTCTCTAATACTCCTTTAAAAAAACGTCCCTTCGGCTGTGAAAATATCATTCATTTCTTCCTCGAATTTGAACAAATACAACGGATTAGTCATTAACCAATAGCCAACATATTTTTTTTCTTAATTCTGTTTTAATCAAAGAGAGTATCTCCAAATCAAACAATAATTTGTTCAAATTCAGACGCGGTAGAAATGTTAAGCTCAATCGTCTAATCAAAAGACACTGTAATCGTATCATTACCCCCGGCTTTAGCCCAGCTTCCTCGAAGAGTTTAAACATTCAAGGATCTTTTATCAAGATTTGACGGTTTAATAACCCTTAATGCACGGCAAAGGGGCGGGGCGGGGGAAACTGGAAAATCCAATTCTTTAAAGTGTCAAATCATGCCAAATAACCGTCTCGTTATTATCAGTGCATGCCATTTTTTGATTTGTATTTCTATGCATCTATACAAGGCAGTCGCCACTCGATACCAAACCACGTTACATGACCGGTCCTACTCTTGCGTGCGTGGCGGTGCGAGTGTGGGTGTGTGTGTGGAGAACGGTTGTGCTCTTCTTACCTGCTCCTACGGTAATTTTTCAGCGGTAACACACTCCTAACTTCTCATTCCTAACCAAACCCTAATCCGGTGGCGCAATGAGTAAAAACACTTTGAGAGGCTGCTCCAGTAGCGCAGTACAAATTATCAATATGTTGAATGAGTGGGGGTGTACAATCCTGCCCTCCGCCCCCCTTAAACTCTATTATGATAATAATGATTCTAGTAATAATACTACCAATAATACTACCACTTATAATAAAACTAATAATGTTAATACTAATAATAGTAATAATAATACTAATAATTTTAATAACCTTTAAAAAGGTCATCTAATTGGTAGCTTGCTGGTTGAAAACTTCTTTTTACACAATGAATTTGGAAATTTCGTACCTTTAGAGAGTACTTTCGAACGCTAACAGCGTTCTTCGTCAGACTAACACCATCTTAGATGGTGTTTAGACAGCTGAGAGAATGGGGATGAATACGTATGTTCATAGTGTTGCCCTTGTAGATTCTTATGTTGATAGACTACCGCAGGCTGGGGTTTTCAATTTTTTCTTTGACGGTCCAGATGGGATTTCTATGAAAGCTATAAGGTCCGAAACATGAGATGCCGTTCGCCTAAAAATTCTTATGGTCGATCGTTTTCTTCAACTTAAGTAGAACAATGTACAATATGATTGCTGGAAAGCCGGGCACGACTCAAGCATTCTTAAATTTTGTTTCAGACTTAGATAATCTACTCCTAAATTTTACAGTAATGACACTTGAATACTGAAGATAATGAGGCTTGTTTTTTGGTTCTATATCTGATCCAAGGAGAATTGATACACTTTTAATAAACAGAACCGCCAGTGCTTCCACTCCTTTAAATAGAGTTTCCTGAAAAAGATGAGTTACATCAAATGAAAGAGGAGGATCTAAGCTTTACATCTATGTGTCATTTATTTATTATAATTGTGATTAGGCTATATGATTAAACATCAATAATTTTCTTTCTTTCTTTTCTTTCTGGGACGCACCGTACAATGTTGCCTTTCTTCGCACCAGTGATCTCGAGGCAGCAGACAGCAAGAAATTGTGTAAATAGTAAAAGGTCCACGGGAGTGAATGTTAGAAGCTTTAACTAAATAAAACACACAATTCTCAAATGTTATACAAAAAAGGTTGTCTTGGGAACCACTTCGATCTTTACGGATGGGGTGCAGGGGGGGGGGGCCTTTGTCGGGAGTCTTGGGGCAAAGAATTAGAAGAAAAATAAAGTCGGGATTCGACCTTTATGTCTAGACAAGTAGACTTCGCATTAATGCATTTCATATTAGTATTATCTTCCATCTCAGAGTGATTATAGACATTATTTATATGGATAATACAGATTAAGCTGTCCGGCTCTTTGAACAAAATGCTTCAAAACAAATCGACCGTGCTGTTTATTAGCTGTTTATTTCTTCATTTAGAGTCTGTCTCTACTGTTTATTCGATTTTCATTGCCAGCCCGCGAAAACGAATTTCAAAGAGAAAATCACATTTATAAAAGGTTCATTTTCTGCCGTTTCATATGACACCTCAATCAGTAAAAATGAGCCAGGAATAAGAAAGTTCTCTTTGTTTAAAATAAAGCTTGCATTTCCATAATTTGATTAAACAAATTCGTTTTCACTGGCTGCCTGCCATAGCAACATACAGAGTTGGCAAAAGACTTAACTCCGTTTCGTTGACAATCAGCCATGCACCAAGTCTTCCGTCTTCTTTGTGCATAGCTGATCTAAGCTTTACAAATATGTGTCATTTATTTATTATAATTGTGATTAAGATAATGATAAAACATCGATAAAACATTAATAAATGACACACATTTGTAAAGCTAAGATCCTCTTCTTTCATTTGATGTAACTCATATGATGCATATTTCACGCATGAGTGATTAAGAACAATTTGAAGAGAGGGTACAAACAATTTCTTTGGCGGGTGGTGTCTCAATTTCAAAGAGAAAATCACATTTCTAAAAAGTTCATTTTGTGCCGTTTCATATGACACCTCAATCAGTAAAAAAAAAGCCAGGAATAAGAAAGTTCTCTTTGTTTAAAGTAATGCTTGCATTTCCATAATTTGATTAAACGAATTCGTTTTCACTGGCTGCCTGCCGTAGCAACAAACAGAGTTGACAAAAGACTTAACTCTGTTTCGTTGACAATCAGCCATGCATCAAGTCTTTCGTCTTCTTTGTGCATAGCTGATCTAAGCTTTACAAATATGTGTCATTTATTTATTATAATTGTGATTAAGATAATGATAAAACATCGATAATTCTCAGTTTCGTTTTTTTTCTGGGACGCACTGTACAATGTTACCTTTCTTCGCACCGGTGATATCGAGGCAGGAGACAGCAAGAAATTGTGTAAATAATAAAAGGTCCATGGGAGTGAAAGTTAGAATCTTCAACTAAATAAAACACACAATTCTCAAATGTTATACAAAAAAGGTTGTCTTGGGAACCACTTCGATCTTTACGGATGGGGTGCAGGGGGGGGGGTCCCTTTGTCGGGAGTCTTGGGGCGAAGCCCAAGAAAGTTCTTAAATGTAAATAAAATAGGAAATTCAAAATAGTCGTCACGAGCAAAAGAAATTGTAATTTCCTCCTTAAAAGTCACATAGACCCTTTCATTTCATTTTAGAAATACCCTCTCTTTCCCTCTTAAAAGACATTTTTATAGAACTTTTGTTTTCGTATTGTTGTACTTCGTTTGCAGACTTCTTGGGCACATGTCGAGCAAACTCATCGGAAATGTAATATGTAAGTGTAAATTTAAGTTTCATGTTCTTCCTTTTTTATTTCATTCTCTCTCTCTCTCTCTCTCCCTCTCTTCTCATTTTTGCTTCCATGCCACGAATCTTTTCGGAGCGTGACCATGCAGATTCAAAGTATGCTTAAATAGGGGCATTGATGTATGTAGAAAAAAACAGGATTAAGATCCGATGCACCGCTTAGAAATGTAAAAGAATGAGAAGAAAAATAAAGTCGGGATTCGACCTTTATGTCTAGACAAGTAGACTTCGCATTAATGCATTTCATATTAGTATTATCTTCCATCTCAGAGTGATTATAGACATTATTTATATGGATAATACAGATTAAGCTGTCCGGCTCATTGAACAAAATGCTTCAAAACAAATCGACCGTGCTGTTTATTAGCTGTTTATTTCTTCATTTAGAGTCTGTCTCTACTGTTTATTCGATTTTCATTGCCAGCCCGCGAAAACGAATTCATTATACATTTCAAAATTTTGCAAAGGGGAACTTCAATCGAATTCCGCATCCTAAGCCGTTTTCTATTTTATTCACTCAAGAAAATAAATTGTCGAGCAATTCAGTAAGACAGCCAAAAGTTAGGATTTTCTTTCGCTTAATGTTGTACCTTTGCAAATGATATTTGCCCCCCCCCCCCCCATTCCCTCCCATACACCACTGTAATGTAAAGCTTTAGTTATTGATTGTACGATATGTAGACTGATTGATCTTAAGATCTATTGGT